ATACCTGTTCAAATATTTCGAGGATACACAGACTGTAAAGTACGGGGTATCGAAAACCTAAATAATAGTAAAAAAAATCACTATTTTTTTATTATTTTTTTTGCGTAAAAGAATCTAGTCTAGTTTGGGCGAATAAGTCATATGTCCCTCGTGCATTGAACGAACTGTGGCAAGATCGCATTGTTCGCAGATTGTAATATTGGCTTTAAGAATATAATGAACTTATTTTTGAACCATCATAAGTATGCACAGATAGCCGTTTGTATAAATAATACCGTACCTTCCATTCTGTATAATAATTTATATATAACAGACACGTGGCAATTTTTTTTTGCGTCGCATTCAATATTTGCTCACATACAGCACAACAATATGGTTTCTTTAAATATTATCTCTTGAATGTTTGACAGGTGTTGAAAGGATATGCATGTAGAAAAATATTCACGCTTGTTTTCCCTTAAAGGGTTTTCCAAAACGAACCGCAAATCTTCGAGAGTATATTTATGAAAGCAAAGGAGCGGGTTCTAAAACCGTTTGAAATACAATTTTTTGCGCAAAGCTAGGTATGACAATGTTCAATATTTTTATTTAATGTTAATGAATTCTGTTATTCAAATAAATATGTCTTCTCATCGTTCTCACATATTTTCTTAGTGTATTATAGTATTGTTTGGTTGTTATTTTTTTTCGTTATAAAAAGGGAAAACGAACTTGAATATTGTTTTGTTTATTCCAAGGCGACCAGCTCGTCGTCCACCGCCTCCAAGGTATTTAAAAACCTATTATTATATGGTAGAATCTTACATATAACAATAGTAATTAGTATTATTTCTTATTAGTGCAATTATCATTCTGGTTAAAACAAAGTATTTGACTCTATCTTAAAGAAAATCTAGAAATACATTATTGAGATAGCTTAGGAAAAAAAAGTCTTAAAACGATAGTTTTAGATCATAAAATAACAAAAAAAAATTAAAACTTAATTCAAAGTTTTCAGTTTTTTAACCTGTTTTTAACCCCATGAAATAGTAGCCATGCTATTACGTCATACGGCTGTGTAAACTAGAAAGAGTCTGTGTCAACTGTCAATCAATTAGTTTACTCAACTGGGCCTCAATTCTGCTATTTTATGTTCACGCCAAGCCACTGTCATACCACTGACACGCAAATATCGGTAGTTGAAAATATATAACGTTTTTTGAGGATTTTTTTATTTATTTTTATTATAATAAATTATTAAAATAAAATAAAAAATTAAAATTAAATCATTTCCTTATATTTGAAAATATATTACGTTTTTTAAGTGTTGAAATGAAATATATTGTTTTTTTTTTCAATAATTTATTTTTCTTTTTTTTATATTTTTAATATTTTATTTTTACCCATAAAATAAGCACATACAATAGCAGAATTGAGGCCCTGACGTCATGACCACAGAAAATATGGCGTCCACTGCGTCCAACGTTAACGTCATATTATGATATAAAAATTCATTTTGGAAAGTGAACAGTGACAACAAGTGAAAACACCAATTCTTGAAAAGTGTCCTGTCATAATGTTGATATTTAGTTCTACCGGCCTTTGTGTCTGCGTTTACTTATATAATGCCAACTTATTACTGAAATAAAATATTCCTTATGTAACGTCTGGATATAGTATTTTTTAAGTGTGGTTTAGTGGTAGTTTCAGTTTATTTAAAATAAATTCCCTTTAAAGAATATTAGAATAAACATGTAGACTTGCAACGAATATTCGGTTACTATTCGGTATTCGGCCTATTCGGCTGCTTTTATTATATTCGGCCGAATACCGAATATCTACATATTATTCGGCCGAATACCGAATACTTAAATAATATATTTTAACATTGAGAAATAATTGGTAAAATGAAAAATTAAAATCAATTGATTACGTATATATTCATATTTTCATTTCTGTTATAATCATTTAAGTAGTCATTGGTGCATAACACAGGTACATAATCATCTTCTGAATAGGAAAAATGGAGGATTCTATGTATTTGAATTATTGTGGTAATCAAAATTTAGAAGGGTAAGGTTCTCATTTCTTTTATAATCATTTATTAAGTAGTCATTGGTACATAAAACAGGTACATAATTTAATTCACGTCTGTACAAGTTTTTGGCGCTAAAATCCAGCGAATACTTTTGCCTAATATTCGGCTATTCGGTCAGGGGCCTCGCCGAATATTCGGTATTCGGTATACTGCCGAATATACTATTCGTTGCAAGTCTAAACATGACACAAGAATACTGATGAACGAATTTAACGGACCACAAATTTAGAGGTTATAATTCGTATATGTCTGGTGGTCACATATTATTTTCTAGTGATTAGTGATCCTAAGTGCTAAGCCAGGTCTTGAGTCCCAGTCAGGACAAAGAATTGTGTGATGAGAACGACCAGTGTCTTAGTATAATTTATAATAATGTATCCATTTAGTGATATATATATACTAGCGGACCCGACAGACGTTGTCCTGTCAAATTTGACACTGCGATGGTAGCGCCGTCTGTCTGATCCAATGTAAAACATTCCAAAATCAACAACTACTAATAAATTAAAAATTAATTAAAAAAACATTGTCCAGCGGACAAAATTGTGAATCTAAACCATTCCCAGATCCCCTTGAACACACACAAAAAATTTCATCAAAATCGGTCCAGTCGTTTGAGAGAAGTTCAGTGACATACACACTCACAGAAGAATTATATATATAAAGATACATATATAGGTACGTTTATCAGCAGTTCGATTATTATAGTACGGGCTTTGTCTAGTTTAGGATTAATTTAGGATCTAGTCATTATTAATTAAATAAATTACTCTGCAAGATTATAGAGATTATATTCGGAGACTCTTCTTTCTTCACTACTTCTTCGACAAGACAGAGTCAATAAGCTTTTTATAAGAAAAAATGTGTACCACGTGAAGCATACTAGCAATGGTCCTATATACTATCCATACTATCCTATACATTTTAAAAATATTTGGTCTTTTTACTGAGAGATCCTAGTCATACATAATCAAAATCCTACTTAATTCTTTTATCCACGGCAACAACATTTTTTTTATAAAAAAATGAATGTTATTAACCCGTCCTACATATGATATGAATATTGTAAAAACAACCAATCACTATATACGTACAATTTCAAACTAAGCAAATTCAGAGCCTCCGAAGTCTTCAGTTTATTGCTCACCCATGACAAAGAATTCTGTGATTAGCACGTGTCTGAGTGTAATATATGCATTTTGCAATATATAAGTATTTTTTTATCAGCAGGTATGATCACCGCAATACAGGCTCTGCCTAGTTTCGGTTTCAGAAGGCTGTGTGTGTGATGTGTCGCGTTATTATCATAATGTGTGTGTGTATGTCTATGTATAAATATAAACATATATAAATATTTCTAAATTATTTTCATAAATATTTCTAAATTATTTTTATTATTATTTTCTTTATTTAATTATACATACATATTGATTACATTTTTAAATATATTATATAAGGAAAAAACCATTTAAATATATAAAAAATAGTAGACCACCGAAATCGGGTACAGGAACCAAAATACCGGTGGTTAGGACCCCAAAGATAGGAACCTCCTCACTATACGAGCCGTGTCAAGGAGGACAGCCTTCTGCATCAGACCCTTGATCCAGCCGTCCAACGTGAGCCTCTTAAGGTGTTGATTGAGGATCTTGGCTCTTGTTTTATTTTTCGTATAGTTACGTTTATATCAAAGGGCGTTTTGCACATGTAGTTTCATGTACGATGTGCCCCTTTAGTGCCAAACTATTGTATACTAATATTTATATTAAGTTATTCTTTTAAAACTGCTTTAAAACAATAAAAATGTACTAAATAATTATTGGCTCTTAAACAGAGCAGAGTTTTTTATGAGTTTTTTATCACAAAATTGTGGTAGTTTTGTCTGTTGTTGAAATAGCTGTCTTTGAACATTTTATTCACGCTATTTAAATAATTGGAGGTCTTATAAATAGTACAGTATTAAAAAAACCTTGGTAACTTTACATCTCTATTCTGTAATTGTCACTATTTTAAACTCTAACTTATCTCTGTCCTAAATTTCTTCCACATCCGTTTGGGCTTTCTAGCGTGGTTGGCTAACAATCATCTATCCAAATCTTCGCATTCTAGAAGCAGTAGTTGTAAAATGAAAATCAGTTAAACTTTCAATACCAATAATTTAATATACAATATACCGACGATATATATATATCTCTGTGTAGTGACGGATTAAGAATACGGAATGTCACTACCCCAATTCATCCCGTGGGTGTCGTAAGAGCCGAATAAGGGCGCAAAACAACGCAGGTCACCAGCACTGCAAAAAGAAGGAAAACTTGACACAAACCCTATACCAACCCGTCTGGCCAGCGTGGTGTAGTAGGCCAAAACCTCCTTTCTAAGGAGAGGCCTATGTCCAGCAGTGGACTATTAAAGGCTGATGATGTGATGATACCGAATTATTTTTATACAAATATATTAGTATGTTTTTAAGTCAGTACGAATTTTTTTTTAGTTTTTATCAAAGTAGAAAACGGGGTACGATGTTTAAAAACAAAAATTGATTTAAATACAAAACTCGTAATACCTACTTATTTAAATAATGCTGATATGGTATATCTCCTCGATATCTAAGACCAGTGATGATATTGCATTTAACTAGTCAATAAGTTAAATTGCTGTGTATTAATGTAATTTAATTTAGTTTAATACTTTAGAAAAATAAATCCTTTTAGATTGAAACACTTAGTTTTGTTGTAGTTAAATTAAATTTGGTAAAGTGACACAATTTTCTTGTACTTACTGACGTAACTCATTTGAAAGTGGTTTCTTATTCAAATTTACTAACCAAACGAGTAATTGATAGTAATAAGAACAAGGCAGTTACCACTTTCAAGTGACTTATCAACGAAAAACTAATATGTGTGTATAATTTCTGTTTCAGCGGAAAGTTGAAGTACGCGTTGTTAGCGTTAGCTATCGCAATCATCGCTGGCGTGGCGTACAAGAAATATGCGGCTAGCTAATTAATTTCATACAAAACAAGCAATGTATATGACTTAAGTGCTGCCAGACGTGGCAACGCAAACCTAACTCGTATGAACAGTACAGTACTAGGACTTTTTTATTATTAGACCACTGAGGCATGACCATAGAAAATGACACAACCTTCCATAGACGGATAGAGGCTAAATAACATACTAACAACTTTATTGCTATAAATTCTTTTACTATTTTTTTTTCAATCAAATTGTTACTTACTTCTATTTATGTCATTTTGAACTTATTTCTATCACGATAGAATACAGTTTTTTAATGTTTGTTGATGTTAGAGGGTATCATGAATTTTTATCGACTACTAAGGGACCACAGAGTTTAAAATTGTAACACATAAATTAGCTAGGAAACTCTGCAATTCCCTCACCCTCGCAATATTAATACAGCTATGGAGAATAGTAATAAAATAATGTTTGTTTGATTTACCCATGTCGAAAGAGTATATATTATTTTTATGTCATGTGCCGTGTGTAGAAAATTAAAAAAAAAAAAGTTTCTCAGTGGTCGAATCTGTACATATATAATAATCATGAATGCTTTGTGATGAAGAAATACATATGAATTCAAATTATTTTGAAGTTAATTAAGGAAATTAATATTAATGCTTACTATATTTACAATTACATAAAAATTACAGTGTCTGACAATCTTAGTACTAAACGCGGCTGTGGTTCTTCTACATTATTGTATAAGCTTAACTTCATCAGATCAGCCTTATTCGTAAATAGGAAAACATTTTGGTACAGTCAGCTACAAAGTCAATGAACACATTTAAGTTTGCAAAACACCTGAACAGGAGCAGCTAAGTAATTGTCGCATCTAAAGTATGATTAATCTCAAAATCAGAATTACAACAATGAACGCCGCTTATTTATTAATTGCTTAATTATTTCAAGAATAACTTTGTATATATTTTTTAAATAGGTAAACTTGCAACTTATTCAATATTTAGATGTGTTATTCTAATTTTGTAGCTAATCATGTTCAACAATATCTTCGAAGATACTGTTTAATTTGTTTATTTCCCCTCTTTACGGTAATTACTGGGGATGTTCTTTGCAAAGCTTTTACCACACTCGTCCATCTATGTTGATCCTTATAACTAGACCAACCCAGGTGTGGGTATGAGGTATTTTTGGCATTTAATGGTCCCGGGCTTACAAAATAAGACCCCGCAACGCGTGATGACTTATGTTTTGGTTTTTGTACTCTAGTTGTGAAAGTTGATTTTGGCATATTCTTGTAATCAGGTCTTTTGGAAAATTGAACGTGTTAATGGACACTTGTAGATGTCTGTATTTATACTAATAGTTTTTATAATATCATACATATTCATATTGTGTAATGACTGTACATTTTTTTTTTAATTTGACAACCTTTTGGAAATACAATAGATTATAGCAGGGTACTCTTGTTTTTTTTCTTTTAAATTAATAACCTTAGTTGGCCGATTATAACACAAAGTTTCTTGATTGTATCGCTATTCCTAAAGTTTTAGGAGGAGATATTTAAAGTACATACACACAGAACATACAGTTAGAGCAGGTAATACAGCCTCCAACACTATAGTCTATAAGGATCTTAAATACATCAGGCTTAAGTCTTAAGTACCAACTAAACGGGTAACTTAAAATTAAATTACTTTTTGTCAGAAACACAATCAGTGAAGTATTCACAATCTGATGATAAAATTTTGGAACAAGAAGTGCACACGGGTGACTGTACCAAATCTTATAAATACGTATTATTAGGATTGTAAGTAAAAAAAGAACAAGAAACTTAAGGTAGGTATCGTGGCAAACGAGTCTGTTTTTCTTGTAGAGATGTCATTCACTATTATTTAAGGAAAAAACATTGTTGACATTAGACTCATTGATATAAAAGAACAAAACCCATAGCTGTTTTTATATACGTTTATTAAATAATAAATTATTTGTTAATAAAAATACCTTTTCCAAAATAAATATCGGATTTAAATTTACTGTAGATGGCATTGCAATTGAATTTCATAACCAGTTAGAGGAAAACCTTTTCTTAAATATAAGTAAGTATTTGCAATATAATTATTTAGCGTAATGGAAACGTAAGTTACACAAGTAGATGAAGAGATGTTGGTGGTCCATTTAATCATGACAATTGAAATTGCTCTCATTTTTTCATGGCAGAGGGGTCACCACATGGATAGCGCCTACCGCCGCCCATGAACCCTGCCACTCAGCAGTCACGAGCGCGTTGCCGGCCTTTGAGGAAAGAGTACGCTCTTTTCTTGAAGGTTTGAAGGTCGTATCGGTCCGGAAATACCGCAGACGATAACTTATTCCCCGGGTTGGTAGTGCGAGGCAAAAAGTGTCTTGAAAAGCTCACAGTGGTGGAGTGCCAATTATCCAAGTGGTGGGGATGAAAATTTTGCGATGAAAGATCGATGGTGGAAAGCTGCGGCCAGTATTAGTCCGAACAATTCCTCAGAGCACTCTCCATGATATATACGTTAGAGAATGCAGAGTGAAGCTATATCTCTATAAGCCAAGGGATCGAACGGGTCGGAGATCTTTTTCACTGTTATTTATTACAAGTGTTTGTATTTAAACACAGTCCTGTTTTAATATTCGTATTCAATGAGAACATTTTAATATAGTTACTTAAATATCATCATAAATTGTGTCAATCCCCCTTTTTTTTTTTGTCGGAACCCCGACTGACCCCGGACCATCTACGGCTTGTAGAGATGTCTATGCATAGTGGGGCAGCTCTAAAAGGGATTTCGGGATTTACTCGAGCGTGTCAGATTAACATAGGAGGAATACCTTACATCCAGTTGAGTACCTCCGCCATACATGAGCCCTACATGTAGGGGGATCGTCTAGGGCAGCCCATCAGATTAGTTAAAAAAAACGATGGCCAAAAATACTCGAGCGTTTAAGATTAAGGTAAGTAGAGTCAATTACATGCACTTTAGTGTGTATTGAAAAAAAATAGACGATTTGAGCGCAACACAAAGGTAGGGTCACAAAGTTAAAAAAAAATCATGACCTTGAATTTCATTTTCTTATTTTGAAGCAAGCAATGGAACAAATCTTTAAATGTCTACATAATTGTTTGTTACATTTTATAAAAAATCAAAAATAACAAAACTATTATAAACCGTTAGGTACATTTAAAATATCCTGAAAAATTATCGGCAGATTTTTGGCTAGTATGACAGGAACATCAAGCTGAACCGCCTGTATAAAATTTAACACGCTTGGGTATTTCGAAATTTTATTTTTAAAATTTGCAGTTTGCATTTTCGATAATCCGCTACCAGCTCGTGTCACTTTAAAATCGTCAAACCTTTCAATGGGAGCATTTTTGAAGTCCAAATAACTGATCCCCAAAATATCTGATGCGCTCGAATATTTTTTTTCGATTTCCTCCCTTACATTTTTTAAAACCTGTAGAAGCTTCCCACCGTAAACTATCTACGACTATTAAGTACGGCTTCCTCTGAAAACTGGAGACTTAATTAAATAAGATCATAAATACATGTGTGCGTGCCTCCGATGATGTTATGCTTACTGAACGTAACTATTACTTATTATTGACCTTTGATAGTAACCTCGTTTCATTGACCTCTTTGGCTATATTCACATGTATGTGATAAGTCATAGCCACATTTGGGAGCATTGAATGATAAGATGAAACAAAACAAGCTAATAAAAAATACAATCTTACATAGGACCGTTGTACATTAATATTTAAGCTTTTGACGGTGCATCCGGGTAATATTCTGCTGAAGTGAGTATTATCTTTTAGTTGATCTATTTCTAAATGCGTTCTCCTAATAGGAGGATATAGGACAAACGGGTTCAAAATATCTGGATTCGTGGTGGGCATGGTCTGGTAAAGACTTAAAGAGTAACTTATCAATGATGAATTTGCTCGGTTGCTGTAGGCCGTGAGGTAGAGAACTCCTCCCCTTTACGCAGCTAAGATAAGCAGATGTGTATATCTATTTATCTAAAATCATGTATTAGTTGGCGTCTTTGCCTTTAGGCTAATGCCTAGTTTACATGCGTGCCGAGGCTCGGCAAACGTTCGAAGCGCCGAGCCTTTACAAACGCTTGGATGCCATTTACACGCTTGCAAGTGTGCTATGGTGTTCCGGACAGGCAAACATAGCAGACCTGGATATATTTTTATTCAAAATATAAGCGGCGGCACTAAACTAAAAAAATATTCTCTAAACTAAACTGCACAATCAGTAAAGCATTATGAGTTAATGTTGATTCCCAACTGCTCAACTACAATATTTGTAATACCAAATTGAGCAGTAGGGAACAAGCACGTGTCAACGTGTAAATACGTCGCAAACTCTTGCCGCGAGCTTCCTTTGATCTGTGTTCAAAAACCGACACTAGTACCGATCGACGACGAGCATACGCGAGCCGAGCAAAACACCCCGTTTACACGCTTGTGTATGTGGACACTTGTCGAGGCTCGCCATGCGTGTAAACGGTCTATCAGATGGGACGTAGCCAGAGCGGCGCGCGCTATTAATGGCAAATAATGTATTATGCAATTCTTTTGTTGATTTTCACCGAGTGATTGATGTGACCGACGTACAAACCTCCTGGTTCTTCGGGAGACAAAAGGCGGCAACGCATTTGTGACTCTTGAGTTACAGGGGTTCATGAGCAACGGTAGTCACTTACCATCAGGTGAGCCGTCTGCTGGTTTTGGCTCTTATACCATACAAATTATTAATAGAGGATCAAATAAGAATGTAATTTGTGATGAAAGTTTGATACCTCTTTGTAACGCGTGTCTTTTTTTGATGTGAAACTTCTTTAGAATCGCTGTGATTTGAAACTCGATGAAACGAAAATGCGTCACGATAAAGAAACAAAGATAAATGTATAGGATTAAGTCGGCGAGAGAATGTAAAAGAATACATTACACATTCTTTTAAATATAATATTTTGACAGTATGAATATTTTATCTTTTTATTTTACTTATACTAACTGGTACTTCGTTCGCGTGGAATTTGAAAAACTTTGCCTTAGTGGGTTTGATTCTCGGGCCGGGAAAATTTTTATAGGGTTTTTCTGAGATAAAAAAATCTAAAGTTTCACTTCTGCCTGCTGTGAATTGCACACACACTTTTCCTTATTAGGTACTTGTGCGATGCACTGAACACGATCTTTTCTTTTAGTTTTTTTTTTAAAGACAACTACCGCATTTTTAAGATATCCTGTGTCGCGGGAGACTTTACAAACATACATGAAACGGACACAAAAAACACCTAGACTCGAAACAACAATTTGTGGATCACACAAAGTGTTGTGCCATGCGGGGATTGAACCCACTACACTTAGCGCAGTAGGAAGCGTGTGCGTTACCCCAGCAAAATAATGTCGAAAATGGTCATTTAAACGTTATAGATAATTAGTTGCTCCCCTTCTGTAATTGTTAGGCACATTTTTAAATTTGTTTCACTTAAACTTTTTTAGTTATTTCAAAAAAACATTTCCTGCTGGGGTAACGTTTGAAACGTTACCGCAGCCAGACATTTTCTTTTTTAATTGTTGAATTTCTTTCACAACATTTTCTTTTTTAATTGAAATAAATTTTAGCTACATAATTAGTTATCCGGATTAGGTAAATGTTACAACTTATTTGGTATTTGTATTTTCTTCGGCTGCGAAGTTATTCGAGATCCTGCTGGAGTAACGTTTGTGGGGTTGCTGGATCTCTGAAACGGGTAAGCGGATTGTAACCATCTTTTGTTCATAACTTCTTAAGGATGAGTTTTAATTTGTTCGACAATAAAATAACAAAAATAATGGACCGTTTAAAAATTATTTAGGTAAGTATGAAAACACTTCAATACGTCCTAACACTTTAAATAAGACTTCTAAAGACTTACTTCAAACGTTATTCTATTGCTTGTATTTACCTTCAAATGTATACGAATTTTCGTAAGAATACTGTAAGTGACTAAAAAGTTATGATGAAATGTAGCTCTCCACGTTCACGATCACAATGTGTGCGGCCTTTTTTGGCCACCGATAAACCTGTGTGAGGATATATAAACTGAATGTTATGCCAATAATTAGTTGTGTGTGTGTGTGTTGTGTGTGTTGTTAATTGCCTAATCCGGATAACTAATTATGTAGCTAAAATTTATTTCAATTAAAAAAGAAAATGTCGTGAAAGAAATTCAACAATTAAAAAAGAAAATGTCTGGCTGCGGTAACGTTTCAAACATTACCCCAGCAGGAAATGTTTTTTTGAAATAACTAAAAAAGTTTAAGTGAAACAAATTTAAAAATGTGCCTTACAATTACAGAAGGGGTGCAACTAATTATCTATAACGTTTAAATGACCATTTTCGACATTATTTTGCTGGGGTAGCGCACACGTAGGAAGCGGCGAGGTGACCGCCTACAGCTACGCCATCCGTGCAGCCACAACTGGCAAATCTGGCATAGACGTCTGCCTTTTTTGATGATTTTTACTTGTGATTATTGAAACAAGTTTATATTAAAAAAAACGTGTTTTTTTTATTAAGATCTCAGGTTAATAAATAAATTAGGTAGCTATTAAACTTATAATATTATATGACAAACAAGGCTTATATAAAGTAAATTAAAAATAAATTTGGTATTTTGGCTACCATTTTTGGCGTATTCTCCAATTTTAGCAGCGTAAGAGATCGCGTGGAATACATAGTGCTGTTCGTGAACATTGTGAAACAAGTGCGAATACGGACCTGAAAGTAAAATGAAAAGGAAAACCTTAAATACACATAAATCTTAAACGAATGCGAATGTTAGTTTGTTTCTCTAGCTATCACACCTTCGCTGCTGAACCGATCGTCATCGCCAGGATTACAGAAGAATTTATTCCACAGTTATGTGTAGGTCTGTATACCGGGCGGCCGGTGGGGTAGCTATGTAGGACACGAATTGACTAAAACCACAACCCGTCTCGGGTACCAGTAACCGAGGAATAACGTGTAATCTAGAAAGGAAGTCTACAAGGGACATCCTTTTCTAGACCTCGACTGTGTATCTCCCCTGAATTCATAAAATCGTGACTGAATCTCTCGGCAAAGACTAGTAGGTACGTATTATTTTAAGTAAAATTCATCTAATAGTATAGTTGAGTTTAGCTTTTGTTTACTTCAATTCGATCATTATTGATTTTCAGTATAAGTCAGTTGCTTATAAGAGACAATATTATAAAAACTTCTTTAATCAATCTTTTATTTAATCTGAAGACCAACATTATTCTTACCTCTAGCGTAAATGGCAACTTCGCCACCGCCGTGAACGCCCTCAAATAAAGCAATTCCAGACTGATATGAATATTCATAGTTCTGTACATCATCTTTGCTGGGATCTCTTCTTAAAGCCTTGGTACCGTTCTTGTCAGTGTTTACGTAGTACTGATGTGACTCGGGACCTCCACTAGCGTAGAATAAGGTTGTGTAGTTTATGCCATCATGTTCAGAGGTCCCCGCTATGTCTGCAAGAAGAAACTTTTATTTAAATTTTGGTGTGGATGATATTTTGCCCAGTGTAATATGAAGATCTTTTGACAGGGTAAGTTACAGGCCATGTAAATCTGATTCCCCTGATTGATGATTTCTGATTCCAGAATTAGAGACGGCAAGCATTATCGGTAATTCGGTCAATTCAAATATTAAGAATACAGTATAATTTATTTTTTGAATTGACTAAGAAAATGCCCAATTAAATCCAAAGAGACAACGAGAAATTTCATTGTTTTCATATAAAATCCAAGTGACATGTTATAAATCTTGTTTCAGCTTATTAATTACTTTATTAAAAACTTAGCAATTAAACTATTTATCTGTACGACCAGGAATAATATTTCTCGAGCTAATATTTTCCTCACCAAAAATATTGCTTCCCCTATTTGGGTATCCGTTGATAGATAACGTGGTTTGGTGGTCGCTGGTAACGATGAGCAGTGTGTCTGCTTCATCAGTCATATTGGCTGCCAGCTCCACGGCTTCTTCCATAGCTGCAGACTCAATGATAGCACGCTTTGCCCAGTTGTTGTGGTGAGCTAAGTCAATGCTGGCCCCTTCTACCTTGAAAATCATTATGTTAAATGTTAGCACCTATTAGGATTAATCTTAAAATTATACCAAAATACTAAGGGATTCAGAAGTAATACAGACATAACCAATTGAATTAGGAGTTACTTATGGGGGTGAAATCTGTTGACAATAATTACCAATCTCAAGTACTACGAAATTTTAAGACTTGTAATTTTCGTGGCATATAAAAAAGATAAACTTTTCTTGGAGTATATAGGGCAGAGTATTATACCAGCAAGGGCAAGGTATATAGCAGGTATTATACCTTGCCCTAATTAGGGTAGGGTATACCTTTCTATACCCTTTTTCTTTATTGACGGGCTAGAAAATCCCTTCGCATCTCCTGCTCCTTGGGGACTCAGGAGCTAGGAGTATGTGGCGATTCCACTAAAAACCACCCTGAGGGTCTTAGCTTCTTGGCCCTACTCGTTATATTTCCAAGGAGACTTGGGGTCCAAGCAGGCTGTGGGCCATAAAAGAAAACCTCTTTTTTATATTCTTAAATATAGTGCGCCTACCGCAAACAAGATTGGGAAAGACAGGAAAGTGATGATAATAGTAATACTGACCATAAGAAAATATCCGTTTTCATTTTTTCTTAAGACTTTGATTGCAGCTGCGACCATGTCAGATAGTGAAGGCATCCCTTTCGGTCCCTTATTTCTTTTGTCTTCAAAGCTTAAGTGGCTGTTGGCAAACACCCCTGCATGATAAACCAAAGTAATAGGGGTTAAAGTATGAAATTGCTGTGGTATAGTAATTTTTCATGGTGTAAGATTTTCGTGTGAAACTTTTTTCACATGATACCTATGAGGTTCTTCTTTTAAAAAATATGCATAATTCGATTTTCGACTTTCAATTGGTTTTTTTTTTCATTCAGCTTAGACGTGAAAGATGGATACTTCAAAAATCCGAGTCATTTTTGTACACGAGTTCCGACGCGAAACGGCAGAAAGGTGAGGAGACTGCTAATGAACGAACCGTGCGTTTTTGGTTTAATCGCTTTCGTAATGGAATCTTTGACTTGTAGAACATACCACGTGAACGTACCCACACATGTGAATAACGCTGTATTGAAGGAAATGGTGGGAGCCAATCCCACTACCTAAACTACCCAGAAATTAGCGGTATGGTATAACGTTACCCTACCTTCAATATAGACTCAGATGCATCAAATCAATAAGACAAAAAATATGAAAAAATGGGTGCCTCATGATTTCACAGAGCTGCAAAAAGAAAAGCGTTTTGAAACATGTGTTGCCTTGTTGAATGGGTACAGAAATTTATTTATTAACAGTAGAATAGTATTAGAAAGCCATTTACAAGTCTTCACTTTTATAAATTTTACTAACAATTAAGTGTGACTGATTCATGTTAATAGTATAGTGCAGTCAGCTACATAAATAGTTACTACGCCTCATATTTTATATTTGAAGAAGTAACATATTTGTAAAGATAATCAGGTATTTCCAGAAGAGTACATACGTATATGAAAAAAATGAAGGAGTTGGAGTTTAAATTTTTCAGTACGAATCGGCAATTTGATACTTTAACCCCTTTTTTTTTTTTTTTTTTCCGTGCGGAAATCCCCTCGGATACCACCTGTCGGTGGCATGTCGGACTCACCGACTAAAACCGCACGCCGTCTCGGGTACTAATAGCCGGGGAACCAGGTATACCCTAGAAAAGAAGTCCCTGGTGCAATACTTTAACCCCTAATATGAGGAGATCGAAGACGATTTAATTAACAAATATCTAAAATATATAATCTATCCACTTGCATCAACTTTGACTTTTAGGGGACTTGAGGGGTATAAATAAGGGACTGAAAATGTTTTGACGTATGAACATACATACACATTAGGGGTCATCCATAAGCACCAGGGCCTTCCTTTCTAGGGTATACCTGGTTCCCCGGCTATTAGTACCCGGCGAAGGCGTGCGGTTTTAGTCGGTTCGTGTCCGACATGCCACCGACAGGTGGTATCCGAGGGGATTTCCGCACGGAAAAAAAAAAAAAAAAAAAAAAAAAAAAAGGGGTCATCCATAAATTACGTCACACGAATTTTATTGTTTTTTACCCCACCCCGTCGTTGTTCCAGCTATTCCAACTAGTTAAAGCCCCCCCCCCCCCCCCCCCAGGTTTACAGTAAAAAATTCAAATTACGGGGTATAAGGTTTTTAAATAACGTGTTCCTAAGTTCACAGTTCGTCGACCCCCTTAACGTGTAACGTAATTATACATAGATAGCCCCTTATCAGAATACCTACCAAATAAGTAGTCAGTATTTTCTATATTCAAGTTTTTAAGCTCCTCATTATCGGTGACCACGCGATAATTTAACCCCCTCCTTGATTTGTCATCTTTGTAATCTTGGATAAGATTCCGTCCATCCTTTCTGAGACAGCCCCAGAGATCATCAAGAGGGTCGTCTGGTGTTTTAGTAACGTTGGTTACGAGGCTCTGCTTTCCACCTCCCATTACCACCTAAAATATATATTTCAACATATTATTATACTGTTTATAAATTTGATATCTTGATTTATGTTCGAAACGGGATTCAAATGAAAAGGGTATTTCTTTGCATTTTTTTCCTTTTCTTAAGCAAGGCGACCAAGAAACTTGTGTTCGAAAACGATTCTAGTGTTTGATGTATTTATGTATAATACTAAAATTTAATATAAAAAATCCTTAAAATGAAAATTAAAACATGCAAAAATTTAAATAAAGTGTTTTTAAATGATTTTTTTACTAATGGGGGTTTAACTAGGATACTTCCAAGATTAATCCTTACTGTAGTTTGTAAATAACAACTTTAAAACAGCTTTATTAGAGAGAATGGAATTCTTAGAACTCAGAAGAATTATGAAGAGAAGAATTTAAATATATCTTTTATAAATTATATCATACCTTTTCTTCTAAAGATAGTACAAAATATAAATGCCATGTATATTAGTTATTATATTTTAGTGGATTATTAAAGGCTGTTGATGTGGGCATATTAGTTAGCAGGTTACGAGATATTTGGCAATTTAGGTGAACTTACGTGAAGATCTCTCCCAGGAAAGTCTTCTACAAGTTGTCTAGCGGTGTCCTTGCAGCTTTCAGCGCCTGGAGGCATGGCACCATCACATTCCCAGTAGCGACTGGCGGTGTGGGCGTACATTGGACCTGGTGTTGCGTGGGTGACACGAGCCGTGGTCACGAAACCTATAAATTTATTTTTTATTTTATAAAACAACTCTCAAGCCAGGCAGAGACAGTACTCTGCCTGGCTTTCCTAATGGTGTTTTTTTTTTTTTTATTTTTTTTTTTCCTTACAATATCTTTACAGTAGTATTCCAAGGCGATATTGTAGCCACATTGGCTTGTAGCCGCTTATTGGCGGGAAAATTAAATAAAAATATATGTATGCATACATATGTGCTGAAACATGGCTCACCCTGGTAAATTTAAAGTTATATAGAATTTCATATCTTCTTTAGGAATACCAAAGGATTAGGGCTTTACTTGTGTATCTGTTACAATTATGAGACCGCTCCCTCCTTTTCCCGCTTCTCGGGAAGTCGGGAATGCTTGACATATATACGTGAGTAAAATCGTCCTTTACAAATTGGAATAACAATAGTTTTTATTCCAATCATTGCATATCAAACTATAGGCGTAACGCGGTAATCTAATGTAAGTACAGTGCAAAGAATATATAAAATCAATGATGAATTTTGACATTCAGTCCATAACGAGTCATTCCAAGAACAAGTAAAATGTTAACAAAAAAAACCGACTTCAACGGTTTTCTCATGGATTCCATGGTCAGAACTAGACCAAATTGAAATGGGACCACACGGGAAGCACCAGCTTTCCAATAAAAAAAGAATCATCAAAATCGGTTCAGCCAGTCGAAATTTATGAGGTAACAAACATAAAAAAGAAAAAAAATACAGTCGAATTGAGAACCTCCTCCTTTTTTGAAGTCGGCTAATAAAAGCAGAAGAAACAAACAAAAGCACAAAAAGCGGTGCAGTCAATTATTATGCTTATTGTTTTCGTGGCTTCTAAAGAGTCGAATGAATTCAAAGTCAATTGAATGAATGCATATGAGGTATTTATGATTGAAGTATGAACTCAATTGTTTACAATAATACACATTAAGCAAAGCGTTACCAGCACTTTTCCCAGCGTTCAAAGCCACCGCTGCTAAACTTTGCGGCCTGGCTTCTGTCTTCAAAGACGCATTACAGTCGAAAGGTTTTACGGACGCGTCAACACCAACAGTGTCCTTGTTTGATTTGATGCCACAAAACATCGCAGTGGCGGTACAGGCCGAGTCGGGTACCATTTTGTTTGCGGCGTATGTCTGCGGCGACACAAAACATAGCATTCAAATGTTAAGTTTTGTTTGCATAAAATGTGTCATTTTTTAAATAATTACTTGACTCATTTCAGGCTCAGCTGTATGATTCCAAATGATTAATCTTAAAATGGTAACTAGATTGCTAATAAACACACTTAATATTTCTAAACTACGCAGAACAACAGCACTGAAAAGAGAGGGAAAACTAGACACAAACTCTATACCAAGCCATGGCCTCCTTTTTAAGGGGTGGCCCATGTCCTGCAGTGGACTTTTAAAGGCTGTTGATGATGATGACGATATATATTTCTACACTATACATACACCCACGTCTTTTATCCCCGAACCGTAGCCCGAGGCATAGTAATAGGCGTGCACACAATTTGCCGACTAAAATTTTTAGTCACTTGTCTAATACAGGTCAAGCAAAAGACTGTCAGCGGATACATACCTACATACAATCAGGATTAATTATTAATAGTTTAGTATTATTTATTGTATTTTCATGTAGCTAAGTAGTTTAGTTTAGTGCCTTTGAAGTTATGTATTGTATGTGTAGGCATATTATAATTAGATCGCAAATTGAAGTCACGTTCAATCATAATTAGAACAATAAATTAACTCATTAGTCGCATTAGTTATGTATCTATAGTAAAATAATAAATTTATGTTAGCGTAAATAACATTTATTTATGTTTAATAGTGCGATTATTCTTATCAACGTTTGAAATGTTTTGCAATAATAATTTAACCACATATTATTAATTAATTCGATGACATTGGCGCTATCTGATAAATGAGTGTTTATTTTACACACTATGAATACTTATTTGATACGATTATTAATAACACGTGATTATATAAATAGAAAAGATTGAGAACACATACATTTGTTCGCTGCGTATATATCATTCACGAGTCACGACCAACATCCTTGTGGGGCTTTTTATGTAATAGGGAGCAAACAAGCAGTTGCGTCAGCTGATGTTTACTAACTACCGTCACACATAGACACTTGCAAGTCAGAGATACAAAGGCTTGACCACATTCTATGTGTCCTCCCCCTCCAGAAACAGGGGAGAGAGAAGGGGGTTTGGCCACCGGTTACCTCACTCACTCGGTGGAAGGCAACGAAAGTATCGAAGGCCCAATTTCCTCATCTCCTTGGGCAACCCCTATCTGTACTCATCACTTCATCACATCAACAACCTTCAAGAGTCCACTGCTGGACATAGGCCTCTCCTTAGAAAGGAGGTTTTGGCTTACTATATCACGCTGGCCAAACGGGTTGGTAAAGGGTTTGAGTCAAGTTTTCCTTCTTTTTGCAGTGCTGTTAACTTGCGTTGTTTACTCCCTTAGTCGGCTTTACACCCACGGGATGAATAGGGCTCAACACTCTGTATTCTTAACCCGTCCTAAAAGCCTGTACTTTGAAAGCCGTCTTCAATAATAATAATAGTAACTGACCTACTCTATAACTCTAGTAATGCCACGGATCCCAAAAATTATAGTCCAATAGCGTGTCTGCCGACATTATATAAATTACTAACGTCCATTCTGAGAGTGAAGATAACATCTTTTATTACGAACAACTTGGTGGAATTTGGTGTAGATAAGTGTGCAATCATGCATGTAAAAAGAGGCAGAGTTGTGAAATCTGACAGAATAGAACTTTTAGATTCCACACACTTTAGATGTCTCTCAGTTAACGAAATTTACAAATATCTGGGTATCTCACAGGCGTTAGGTGTAATTAATGAGTGGACTATGAAACAATCATTACAGGAACGTTTCTTTAGGCGCTTGAAAAAAGTATTGAATAGTCTTTGTCAGGTGATAGAGAAGAGTTCCTACATTGCTTACTACGTACCGAATGCAACATCCACGTTCATCTGTGATGAGGATATTCTACGAAAAAATGGTGGTCGTGGTTTTCTAAATGCCAGGATCCTTTATAACCTTAGAAATTATTTCCTTTCTATTAATGTAGGTATGCATAGGGATTTAGTAGCAGTTGATAACGAACGCACTTCGCTTGATCTAGGTTAAGAGAACTGGCGCAAATTTGCAGTATCAACGTTAATGATCGTAAGGAGATATGAAAGTGCAAAGAGCTGTATGGACGTTTTTATGAACAGGCCTAATGTAAACAACCAAATTACACCCAGGTATAGAACAAATGACCATACTCATCACACAATATATAATTTTTAAGCTTTAATTAAGTGTCAAGAGAATTAGTAAAGGGTCTTTTACTACTATTATAACTGTTTTCCTAAACTTTGAAATATCAAAATCACTACTAGAAACAATACCCAATAACACTAGTGATTGGAGAGCCATAAAGAAAAAAGAGAATTACCTTTAAAAGTCCCACGTGCGGAAATTTTTCATACACCAGCCTATGTGATTCTCCACCTTTGTAGATTCTAGTGGCAGTCACGGTATTGGGACCCATGCCATCTCCAACAAATAAAATGACATTCTTAGCCGTGTTGTAATTCAATTTCACTTCCAGCGCTTCATTCAACTCATTTTTGGCTAGATTCAACCAATACTGCTTATCTAGGAGAGATTAAAACAAAATAATAATAATAAGGTAATCTAGAAATTTAAGAGTAATTGTGCGTACATAAGGATTAAGTGTTTTGTTTCCAAACGCAAAAAGTTAATACATAAATATTATTATCACTACATATTATAAAACACAGTCCTCTGCCGCGTCTGTCTGTCTGTTCGCGATAAACTCAAAAACGACTCCGCCAATTTTCATGCTGTTTTTTACCAATGGATAGAGTGGTTCTCGAGGAAGGTTTTAGTATATAATTTGTCAAGTTTTTATATACATTGGCTAAAATATAATGATATTTGTATAAGGTGTCGAATAAAAGTAAGCTGCCTGAGACTTTCAACGAAAACGCTGCTTAAACCCTTTGAGATATAACAAAATGATATATGGTGGAATTGTGTACCTTGTATAGGACTTGAGTGAAGTCTGCGATGGCATATGTCTATCTCTTAAGGATAACATACTATATCCATCTTAATACTAAAACTATTTACTACAAATACAGTATTAATCCTTATCTAGAGGATTTAATCATTTCATGCACAGTATTTCACTCTTTTACACCATATAATTTAAACGAATATCTTAGGAGTAAGCGCAAAAAATTACGGACGCGATAGTAAAATTCAAACGCCTCGCTTCCGACCCTCACCCCGCACCGTCTTGCCTACTGTTTAGCTAATAAACCGAACGATAACGCGTGCGTAACCTATACAAATATGTAAATAAGTATTATTTTGTAATGTCAAAATAATAGGTTTTTCCACATGATTATTTGCACGATACCTATGCCTAAAAAAACTTAAATTTCAATAGTACTGATACTTAGTTTTGGAGACACAAAGGAACTCTTCAAAAAATGACAGTAAATCAACCGTGATTGCTGCTAGGTTTTTATTGTTCTTTTTTAGTACTGTTAGAAGTCGGTTCAACTTTTTTTTAAAAGGATTTCTCTCTGAGGCCTCACGTACCGTACTTCACCACTAAAGCAGTCGAATGAAGCCGCATTTTTTTCCGTGCGGAAATGCCTTGGGGATACCCCCCGCCGGACAGCTGGTGGGGTGGTTATGAATTTCAATTCCGATCAAGTTTTTTATCCTAATGTTAATGACTTTAGAAATCATATTACTTAATTTCAAAACAATTAAACCACAGCATGTCGTTGCATTTTGCGGGTCGCCGCAGTATTTCACCATATCCCGCGAGTTACATAGGTCGTAGGAGTATAGCCCCCCTCACTCGGAGTCAAGGGCGGGAGACATTCAATCAGTTTCGTCTGCACGAATACAAAGTTGGTTGCGTCGTTCTGATTTACTGGGATTTAGCATTATTAGCAGTTTTTGGTGAAGATGAAGTAAGTAAGTAAGTTGGTGACAAACATAAACTGATATATTGAAGCAAAAACAATTCTGGGTACATGATTTGTGAAGAACACGAGAGACACTCGGTGTGAGTCAAGATGAGCGTTCTTCCTCCTTTGCCCACGCGCCCAGCCCAGGCTGCACCCCATTTGCCGGCAACACCGCTACATTCGGCTTAAACCTTCGGTCATTTCAATTAGTTTGGCTGTCATGTCAAGACGTGGCGTGGTGTAATTGTATCGAAAAACTAAAATAATATGAATTTTAAACACATTGAAATATGGATAAAAAGAACTTGATCAGAAATAAAATCCTTTACCGAGCCGTACCGTGTCGCGACGTCAGTCAGCGCCGGCCCTATTGAGTGGCTGGGCTTTCTGCGAGATGCCACGACATGAAGCGGTATGCTTTGTCATGTTGCTTCATATCAAAACATCCTTCGGCTGCCGAAGGACACCCAGCCGAGCTGTGCCTTGCTTCGACGTTATTCAGCTCCGGCCCTAATACCACACGCCGCGCCATCTCGGGCAGTAGCCGTACAATCAAGCGTGACCTAGAAAGAAAATCTCTGATACCCCACTGGCCCCGGGACATTTACGGGTTACAGATGTTTTCCTGATGTATAGTGACCACTACCTGCCCCAAAAGAAGTTCCGGAGCGCGTCGCGTCGCCAACTGTCACTCCCAGGCTCGGTGCTTGGACATAGATTATTCAGCGACTACCAGCGCTTAAGCCACCTGCTGTACCTGGTCCGTTCCCGGGCCTGGTGAGCCGGGAGAGGGTTCTAAGTCCCTCCCGGTCCCACTTCGCCCCACAGGAGCAGTTACCAGTACCATGGTCGTAATCAGTCACGAGGTCATGCCTCTGCTCCTTATACGCTGGACATTCTCGAAGTGTGTAAAGCGTCATGACCAAGCGCTAGCCATCGCAGTGGCAGTACCCGGGCGTTGGCTCTTTGCGGATCAGACACAGGTGACCTCCAAAGCATTCTTTACGTCAGCCAATATCAGAGGGTCCCGTGTTTCCTATCGAGCCAATCCTCCATAACGGGTCTTACCATCGCAATAACACCGTGCCTGAATTAAGCCGCGCCATAAAGTCCCCAACGTAAAATTTTCGCCCGGTATAGGATATTTGAGAATTCCGCGACCGCATCTTGAGTGATTAAAATTATACAAACTCACTTTAAATAAATCGAAGCCTATAAACATTTGCATTTATTTTCATACACCAATCAATAGTTGTTACTGTGATGAGATAAAATAAATTAGACATGCAAATTATGAAAAGTTTCGAGAAAAGAAAACAACACACACACACACACACTCGAAGTTAAAACTTTATCTTCTTAAAAAATTGGTAATAACTAACTTACGGGTACTTACCGGTACGCAGTCCACGTGTGCAAACAAATGCAACACATAATACAAGCACACTGCGCGGGAGCATGTTCGATACTGATTTGATTGTAGGTTTTAATAGGATTATCATCATGACTCGGTGACACTAACTAAGATTGTTTAGATGACACAGACTGAATGTGCGAGGTCTATTTGTCAATTTTAGTATGCATGCATTCATATTAAGGACTGCATTAAAAAACTTAGGTACTTACAACTTAATACGCTGGTTCATGTCTTACATTTTTTACGAGGACTCAAAAAGTAGTGATCTATGGCTTCGGATGTGACTTTATGACCGTCATTTTTGTAGTGCACCAGGGATCAATCCTGGGCCCTCTCATTATTATTTTGTTTGTCAATGATATTGGACACTCAAACTTTTTAATGTATGCTGATGACATCAAAATTTACAAAGAGTGCCTTAGCCGTTATAACTTTTACTATATTGTTCTCTTAATAAATTACACCTCATCAGCCCCAAATGTAAACTTATACAAAATAGAAGACAGTTATAATACCCAATTACACTTTACACGACAATGCTTTACAAAAGGTTGACTACATTAGCGATTCGGGTGTCACCATTGACTCAAAAGTATATCTAGATCTACACATAAACAACATTATTAGTAAATCTTTTCAAATGTATGGCTTTGTTATGAGACCTTCCAAAGGTTTCAAGCGCCCATCTACTTTACTACTCTTATAAGATCTCAACTAGACTTTGCGGTTCCAATTTGGGATCCTATTTATGACAAGTATGTAACCCGACTTGAGATGGTTCAAAAGAAGGTTTTAAGAACCATATACTACAAATGTCACCAGATCTTCTTCTAGAGTATAACTTATTAAAACTGGAGTCTAGACGCAAACTTATCACGTGTATGACGTTACATGCCGTATGTAGTATTAAGTTTGATTGTAGTGGCATTACTATTCAGTTGTGCTGTGTGGTACCTAGAAGTGTATTGTGGTGCGAGGTGCGCGCACCTCGGCTGTTCCACGCTGGTAAAAAGAGAACCAATATCGGTGTTCGGGCTTTTCTTCGTCACATTGTGGAAACGTACAGCACACACCTCGCCGATGTTGATATTCTCGCACAATCGCACTCAAAATTTAAAATTACAGCCACTCAAATCTTGAAAACTTCGCATTTGACTGTAATTTTCACACTCTATTTAAGTAATATAAGTAAAATGCTCTCGATTTACATGTCATTGTTTTAAATATTATTTCACGGACATTAATGAAGGTTGCACGTTCAATCAGTAGAATATATTTATTTAACCTAATATTAAAATATTATAGCTATTACCTAACGTGTAACTGTTAACTGTCCCATTAAACAAAATGAAATTTAAAATAAATAAATTTCCTTTCATTGCGTGAAGCAGGATTAATAGTTACTCTGTAGTTCGTTTAGTCTTTGTTAAATGGTATTGAAGTTTGTTTTTCGTTATTTAAAGAAGTCGCCACAATTTCTTCCCCATCTTCTATCAAAGTTAGCTTGACCGAATCACAATCATTTATCGTTTCATAATTTTATTTTCAGTCTAATTGATATGTTACAACATAAGTAGGTACATTTTTTTCTCGTATGTATACATAAATATGTCTATTGCTAGAATCTTAATGTGTACCAATAAGACAATAATACAATGAAACATAAATAAAAACTTTTCTTGATTGTTTCTTCAGCAGCATTATTTGTGAATTCGCCAATTTTAGCAGCGTAGGAGATCGCATGGAACACGTAGTGTTGTTCGTGTACGTTGTGGAATAAATGCGCATACGGACCTAGAATTAATTAAATGTAAGCATTAGTAATAGTTTTTGGACAACACTGCAATGAGAAGGAAAACTTGAAACAAACTCTATATCAACCCCGTGGTATAGTAGGCCAAAACCTACTTTCTAAGGAGAAGCCCATGTCTAATAGTAGACTATTAGAGGCTGTTGATGATGATGATAAGGTCACCTGATGATGATGATGATAAAGCAACCTGTCACTCGATCACTTTAACATCAGGCACCATCTAGCCAACTTTAGAAGTTTCTAGTTTTATCGAAGAAAACTGGTTTCTGTCTATATCTGGGTCAGATTTACGAGTTAGTCGGTCTCAGATATGCAGGTTTTCTTCAAATGGTTTAATGAAATCGCTTTTACCTCTAGCATAAATAGCTACGTCTCCTGCTCCGTGGCTGTTCTCAATCAGTCTAATGCCAGCTTGAAAGTGATACTGATAATCCTGCGTGTCATCCTTGCTGGGATCGCGTCGCACGACCCTGGTGCCGTTCTCATCTGTTTCGGCGGTAAACTGAAAGGTCAAGGGGCCTCCCGTACTGTAGGATATCGTTGTGTAGTTAATACCATCGTGATTTGAGGGTCCAGCTAAACCTGCGAGATAAAATGAGTTTATAACAAAACATTTGGTGTCTAATTTCAAGTATAGAATTTAATCAGATAGATTCATTGAATCAGGACAATTACAAAATCTAAAATATATAATTAAATAATTAAAGTAAATAAGAATGTCTATTTAACGGTGATCATACCATCAGCGCCAAATTTTTCACCTTACTACTAATTATAATGCAAAAACTGGGTGGATGGTTTGTTCGTTAATCATACCAGAATGGCTGAACAGACCTGGTTGAAATTGGCACAGATATGGAAAATAGTTTGGAATAGTACCATTTTTGCCCTTTATTTATTATCTGCTTTGTAACGATTCGGATTATATTTATATAAATATAACCCAAATCTTTAACAGACTCGGGGGGGCCTGTAGTTTAAGTAGTAAGTGATGGTGTTTGCAGAGCCAAAGGTCGTGGTTTCGAATCCTACCCTGCACAAATAATGAGCACGATCATTCATCGATGTAAATAATATATAATATGTACGTAATTAGTAATATATAAGTAGATTTTTATTTATCAGCAATAGTGTAGTCGTGTCTTGTATAAAAATATTTATATATTTTTTTTCTTACCGAAAATATTGCTTCCTCTGTCCGGGTAACCGTTAAGAGACATTGTATGTGTATGGTCACTGGTGACGATTAGCAAAGTGTCTTCCTCGCTGGTCATGTTGGCGGCCAGCTGAACAGCCTCTTCCATGGCTGCAGACTCGGAAATAGCTCGCTTCGCCCAACTCCTGTGGTGAGCCATATCGATATTACCGCCTTCTACCTTAAAAATTATACAGAAGAACTTTATATGGGCGACGAAACTAACACTTTTTTTTTTATGATACAGACACAAACGGCCCGACTGGTCACCTGAGGGCCGAGTGCAAGTTTATTTCACATCGACTCGCTCTCGACAGCGAGCGCGTTAAACGTTGCGATTTAATAATATATATGTCACACATCTCACACACGGCCGTCTGATCCCGAACTAGGCAGAGCCTGTGCTATGGTAACCAGACTGCTGATAAACATACTTATATATTTCTAAATACATACAGATTATAGATAAATTACCCCCAGACACAGAACAAATGACCGTGCACACAATATTTGTCCTGGGTGGGAATCGAACCCACGACCTCCGGTTTAGCAGTCAGGGTCACCACTAGACCATCAGGTGGAGATTTCAGTGCGGCCCGCACTGAAATCTCCACCTGATGGTCGTAGGGCCGAACGCAGTCACCATGACGATCGGATAGAAGTTAAAAAAAACTCGCACTTGGCCCTCTGATGATTAGTGACTAAATCCGCCCAGGGATACTTGCAACTCGAAAGACACAAGTGCGAAGCCGTTATGAGCTTCCTAACACCCCCCCACCCTCCCCCCTCTCAGAGTTAGGAGGACAGATCACTGGTAACCTCTAACTCACTCGATAAAAATCTACGAATTGCTTAACACTGGTTGCTGCGAGACCGCTGTGTCTCTCCAGTAGTGTCAGCCCATTTGTGAAGTAGCAAATCTCTCAAATAATCAGAAACAAAGTAATTTAGAAATGACAATAATTTAATTTTTTTTCACAATCAAACTCAAAATATCTTTATTTCATAAAAACATTAAAAATTATTTGAAATCGTCTTTTCTGTAGACCAAAGTCATAGATCAACACACACACAATAGCATCAATCTCTGTTTTGTCAAATAGTAAGCAAATTAAATTTAATAAAAATTAACTTATACAAAATCTATGATGTCTGTGCCGATCTACAACCGCCCGTTTCCAAGGGGTTCAGCCTTATGAGAAGAAAGGCTTTTGTTTATTTAATTGTTTATATGAAAATTTGTGCGACAAACAAGCCTTACAAATCTCTAAATTGCCTTAAGTTTCGACCAGCTTTTCACACGATGACCTACTGATCGTTGGAATGCGAAAATTTTAAGTTACAACTTTTTCGACTGTTCATACAAATTTTGTTATAATAACTGACCATAAGAAAATATCCTTTTTCATTTTTCCTTAGCACTTTAATTGCGGCTTCCACCATTTCAGATATAGAAGGTGTTCCATCCGGACCCTCATCTCTTTCGTGTTCGTACTTCAAATGGCCGTTTGCAAAAATTCCTGTAAGATTTAGAAAAATAAAATGTATGTACACAAAAAAAAAACAGTGGTGGTACAATACACAGTGAAGTGCCCAGAGTTGTTGGGTAAGATAGGATTAGTAACACATCCCACTATTCTGCGCAATTGTCGTCTTTCGTATGTTCCTTGCGCAAAGAGTACATACGAGTATAAACAAAATTCATTTTCAATACGTGCGAGTAGACAATATAATAATTTTTTTATCTTAATATGAAATAGACCTATATGGTACCAGTGTTTCTAAAATTAAAAACATTTTAGCTAAGAAGTTATTTGATTGCCTACGGGTGCTGGCTTTGTGTCTGTTTACTGACTTCCAATTTAATGTTACCCGTGTATTTCTAATTGCGGATATTTGTAAATGGCAATCAGACGTTTATGTATTGTATTTTATGTTTTTAAAATGCTAGCTGTAATTATCCCAAACAGAGAGAAAAAAAAAAGTTAATTGTTTAAACAACAGATTTTAACTAATTACTAACAATTGAATCAGTTGTATTATCTGGACATTGTCCAATGTATTGAATTCCATATAATAATAATAACTTCACACATCTCACACACGGCCGCCTGGTCCTGAACTAGGCAGAGCCTGTACTAGGTAACCAGACGCTTATAAACATCCTTATATATTCGAATATGTACTGCTTAATTTTAACTAGGATTCATATCCATAAGAGCATTATGTACGAGTATTAAGAAACAGAGAATGTATTGTTTACATAACCTTAACGTACTTTGAGTTAATTTAAAAAAAACCGGTGTCTCTAAAAGCATTGTGCTGGACACAAGCCCGATACCAACCCGTCTGGCCAGCGAGGTATAGTAGGCTAAAACCTCCTTTCTAAGGAGAGGCCTATGTCCAGCAGTGCCCTATTAAAGGCTGTTGATATGTTGCAAAATAAAACGAAATAAATATTGTTTTCAAAAGACTACGCTTTACTTTCGTCATGTAGCTAATTACTGGCTTATGGATAGTGAGCAATAATTTTAATATGTCGTCACTTATTTGGCGCTATTACATAAATTAGTCGTAATCCCAAATAATATTCAGGAGTTGAGTATTAACAAATTTAAATCCGCAATAAAACGTGGCTTGTGCCAGAGGGCCTACTACTCGATTGTGGATTACATGGAGGACAAGAATGCTTGGGATTAATTAGCGCAGGCTATTTCTTTCTTAAGTAAAAATGTGGTGTGGCTAGTATGTTTTTTATTATTTTTTTATTTTTTATGTTTCACTTCATTTTCTCTTGTATTCGTTCTCGATTGTTCTTCTTAATCTTGTTTTCTCTTCGTTGTTTTTTCACCTTTAAGTCCTTAATAACGGACATACTAGCATACATCAAAACAATGTTGTGATATATTTAATAGTGCCATTGTATCTACTTGTGAATTGCAAAAGAGTGGCCATGAGTTTGTTTGCCCTTTCTTCTCATAAGGCTCAACCCCTTGGAAACGGGCGGTTGTAGATCGGCACAGGCATATCATAGATTTTGTATGGGTTTGATTTTGTTAAATTTATTTGGTTACTATTTGACAAAACAGAGATTGTTGCTTTTGTGTGTGTTGATCTATGACTTTAGAGTCTACATGGAAGACGATTTCAAACAATTTTGAAAATTTTATGAAATAAAGAAAGTTTGAGTTGAGTTGAGTTGAGTAGAACCAATTAAAGAACAACGTTAAGTGTAAAATGTCTTATCTAAACACAGTTTGATAACCCGATTTTACTCGCGATTTCAGCGACCTTAACCTTGTCTTTGGAGGACTTGACCTGTTTGTTCTTGTTGCTTGAATTTATTTAGTGATACACTCACTTTTATCGCAGCTTGGGTCACTATTAGCTCTCAACATATCAGTTCTGGACATCTTACCATTAGCGCTACACTTGCTCCAAGAAGATTGATTGATTGACAAGCTATCATGCATTTCTTTTGAATAGTCTTGGAACTCTCATATCTGGCAGGCTTCAGAGACAGAATGTTGGTTTTAGGGTCGCACTCGGTCCAATTATTTGTCCTGGGTAGGAATCGAACCCACGACCTCCGCCTTAGCAGTTAGAGTCACTAACCACTAGACCAAGAGACCAAATCAAATAATATATTCGATATTCCTGCATTATTCTGCTCTGATACATCAAACTGCAGAGTACAGTCATCTAATAAATATAACGACATAAAAAAACAATGCAAAGAATTACCCAATAAGTAATCAGTATTTTCTACATCCAGATCCTGCAACTCCTTATTATTGGTCACTATGCTGTGGTTCATGCCCCGCTTTATTTTATCCTCCATGTAGGTTTTGAAAAGATTTCTTCCATCTCTACGCTCACATCCCCAACTGTCTATTGGATCATCAGGTGTTGCTGTGGTATTGGTAACCAGCCCTTGTTTACCACCTCCCAAAATAACCTAGAATTTGATCACACTGGTTAAAACACACTTATAATTTAACAGATCTAAAAAGGCTCCAGGACACAAACCCTATACCAATCTATCTAGCCAGCGTGGTATAGTAGGCCAAAACCTCCTTTCCAAGGAGAGGCCTATGTCCAGCAGTGGACTATTAAAGGACGTTGACGGAAAAGGCTCCTCAAATTAGAAAATTGACACTAAAATACACAACCAAAACAACTAATGATAAAGTAAGCAATTGATTATTTAGCAAGATTGTGGTTTATTGGTTAACGTTTACCATAATTATTTAAGTTGTAAGTTAGTTAGTGATCCTGGCCTAGTAATCATGGTTACTAACCACTAGACAACTAGACTATTCTGATTATCATAATGATAAAGAACTGGTTTAAAAAATACAATTTTTAAAGCTAATAAAAGGTGCAAGAAAGTGAAAAATAAGGGAGGAAATTCTAGTATCTAGTACAAAAATAAAAATAAAATAAAATTAAGTTAGAATATTTACAACATTAACACTATCTACATACGAGGATCAAAAAATTCCTCCGCCTCATCGCCTACTGGTAGCGTTCCCAGAAGACTGGCAGCATTGCCACGTTGAATGGCAATGCTAATTCTCTGTGCTAGAAAAGGACCAGCCTTCTGATCACGAGAAGTGTTTTTTGTTCCTTTCAAAGTGTGTGCTCATTATTATTTTTGTTCATTATCAATGCAATCACAATAAATAACGACTAGTATCAACGATTTGACTTACATCTTGCTGAATTAGAATAAAGTGTGCTCTTTATTACTTAATTTTCAAACAAGGAAAAATACTCTTAGGGGTGGTATTTTTTCTTATTGTTTTATCATACATTATGTCCTTCTAATAGAAAAATGAGTTTTTTTTTCTAGTTGTCCTATTAGTAGAGCCAACAGTAGAACATACGGTAACAATTCTGGTATTTTACCATTTTTACCATTTTAAGAAGTTTTCAAAACGAATAATAAATGACGTGAACATAAAACAATACAAACGCAATGCATCGAGAAGTCGCACTTTTTAAGTCACTTAAAAAAGGTAATCATTCATTTTGTTTGTTAAAGCAATGACAGCATTGACTAACTTGACTTAATGTCCTTTGTCCCCGTGATGGGGCAGAGGGCATCCACAGTGATCCTCCATCGCGTTCTATCTTGAGTTTTATTGAATAACTGAATCAACATTTTTAAGAAGTTAGTACTTACATTTAAATCACTTCCAGGCCAGTCCTCGATGAGTTGTCTAGCAATATCTTTGCACTGCTCAGTGCCTGGTGGCATTTTGGCTTCACACTCCCACGAGCGGTCAGCACTGTGCGCATATAACGGACCAGGAGTCGCGTGGGTTACTCGCATTGTTGTAACGAAACCTACAATTTAACACTTTGTTTGTCATAAACAGCAATAAAGTATTTAGAATTATGAGTTTTTAGGAGCATTTATATTGCATTTTTATTTTAATAAAACTTAAGCAATAGGAATATACCCTGTGTCACGGGGGACTTTACAGACATACAAGAAACGGACACGAAGAACACCCGGACTCAAAACAACAAGTTGTGGATCATATTAAGTGTTGGCCCATATGGGGATCGAACCCATAACACTCAGCGCAATAGGAAACGGCGAGGTGACCGCTTAGACCACTCCACCATCTGTGCAGTCCCTAAATAAACGGATTTCAATTACTTCTAGAGTTATTTTAAAGAAGAAAATAAAAACAATGGTGTTGTTGAAGAACGGGTGTTTTATCTCTTTCACATAATGGGGGGATCATCGTGACCAACGGTTAATGTTAGGAAGTTGTATAATCAGTTAAAACTGACGCAAAAACTTTCATTGCGCGATGTAGGATTAGTAGTTACTCCGTTGTTAGGTGTGTCTACTTTAGTACTGAAGTATATTTATCATTGTCAGTGGAAGACGCTTCATCAATATTGCCCCTGATTTCGCTCACGTGATGATTTTTCAGTTGTTTCTAACTTTAAAAATGACGAATTGCCTCTTACTGTACTTCCTTAGAGGTAAAGTTTTCAAGAAATTCTTTATTGGTGGGTGCTGTTTATATAACTACGACTACTAACTAACAATATATAACTGTTATAACATTTCACTCGGGTTATCAGGATCTCATCTCTGTTCTTCTACTGTCTTGTGTTTTTAATACCTACCTAAGTACCTCAATAAAGGTTATTTGAGTTTGATTAAGTACATATTGTTTTATAACATTAAGTGTTCCACAAATGATATGCTTCTGATTGCCATTTTTTTTAAAAAAGTGCACGAAGAACTATTTTCACGTATTAAATTAAAGCTTACATGAATACTTTAATTAATTTGAAGCTTTCTAAGGTGAGGCCTATGTCCAGCAGTGGACTATTAAAGGCTGTTGATGTGATGTGATGTGAATGAATGAAAATGAAGTTTCTTTTAAAATAATCGTTCTCTAGCAGCTAACGTACACAAAAGAGAATCTTACCCGCACTTTTTCCAGCCTTCAAAGCTAGTGCTGCTAAGCTAAGCGGCCTGGCTTTTGGATTTAATGATGCTATACAGTCTTTACGCTGAACTGTTGCGTCTACTGCCATAGTATCCTTATTATTCTTAATGCCACAAAATAGAGCAGTAGCAGTGCAGGCTGAGTCAGGGGCCATTTTATTGGATGCATAGGTCTGGAAATAATAGATAGTTTAACGTGAATATGTGTGTTGGGTATTGTTTTAGGTGACAACTAGATAACAATTGGAATTGTGAATTTCGTAAACCGATAACTAGTTTTTGGTACGGTCATCATCTAGTCAACAGCTTTTAATAGAACACTGTTGGCCTTTTCTTAGAAAGCAAATTTTAGGCCATTATGCCACTCTGACCAGACTGGTTGGTATAGGGTTTGTTTCAAGGTTCCTTCTTTTTGTTGTCGCTGTTGTCCTGCGTAATGTGCTCCCTTAGTCGGCTCTTACGACACCCACGGGATGAATAGGGTTAGTGACACTCCGTATTCTTAATCCGTCACCACACGGATAAAAAGATAAGTACGATATAGATTGGTCCGGTATTAAAGTTAAAAAATGGTGTAATGTTATTCACTATATTTAAAAGAATCTGTTCCCTAAGAATACTGACTGTTACCACTCCCATTCATCCCGCGGCTGTTGTAAGAGTACTGCAAAGAGAAGGAATACATTAGGCATACTCTAAACTAACTCGTTTGGCCAGCGTTGTATAGCAGGCCAAAACCTTGTTTTTAAAGAGATGCCTATTCTAGCAGTGGGCTATTTAAGAGAGCCCCGGACAAGTCACCGACTTGTCCGGGGCTCTCTGAATATCAACTTTAAGGCGGAACGTGTCTGTTTGATGAAATCCAGGCTCCGACCAACTCGGCTCCAAGCCATGACAGGATCTGAAACGTTCCAGTCAAAACTGAAAAACCGATTCGCTGCCGTGGAAACCACAATCGACGTAAACCAGAACCTCAAAAATGTGGTTCAGATCCTCAGGGAAGAAGGTATGAGATTTTGTGAAATGCAGCGTAAGGGCAGGAAGTCGAAGCTTTCAGAAAGGACCCTAGGGCTGATGAAGAAACGACGTGAAAACCCACCTGTCTCTTTGTCGGCAAAGCGGACTCTAAACCGAGAGATCAGTAAACTCGTACGACACGACCTCCGGTGCTCCAATACTCTTTCAATTGAAAGAGCGATCGAGCAAAATCGGGGGTCAAAAGTGTTCGTACAATCTCTTGGAAGAAGCCACCTGACAAAGTTGACTACAGAAAGTGGAGAAGTTGTTGCTTCGAAGCCGGCAGTCCTTTTGGAAGTGGAAAGCTTCAATGGCCGGTTATACGCTTCACATGCATCTCGACCTGATCCCGAAAATGAGGACTCTAGAGCCACATTAACACGTCACTACACCGAAGACCTGCCAGAAGTTAGCATTGACGAAATCGAGATGGCTCTTGGACAGCTGAAAAATGGAAAAGCCCCTGGAGAGGATGGCGTTACAACAGAGCTGCTGAAGGCCGGGGGTAAACCCGTACTAAGGGAGCTCCAAAAGCTCTTCAACGCTGTCTTGTTTGAAGGGAGAACTCCAGAAGCGTGGAGTAGGAGTGTGGTCGTCTTGTTCTTCAAAAAGGGTGACAAGACCAGGTTGAAGAACTATCGACCCATATCCCTTCTAAGCCACGTCTACAAGCTGTTTTCGAGAGTCATCACGAACCGTCTTGCGCAAAGACTCGACGAATTCCAACCACCGGAGCAAGCTGGGTTTCGGAGCGGATATGGCACCATAGACCACATCCACACAGTGCGGCAGATTATACAGAAGACCGAAGAATATAATCAGCCCCTGTGTCTAGCATTCGTGGACTATGAGAAAGCCTTTGACTCGATCGAGATCTGGTCTGTTCTGGAGTCCCTGCAGCGTTGCCAAGTAGATTGGCGATACATCCAAGTGATGAGATGTCTCTACGAAGCCGCCACCATGTCCGTCCAAGTACAGAATCAGCAAACAAGGCCCGTACCATTGCATCGAGGCGTGAGACAAGGGGACGTTATTTCCCCGAAATTGTTCACAAATGCAATGGAGGACATGTTCAAGACGCTGCACTGGAAAGGGCGTGGCATCAATATTAATGGCGAATACATCTCTCAATTGCGATTTGCAGATGACATCGTCATCATGGCAGAGACGTTGCAGGACCTACAGCAAATGCTGAATGACTTAGCTGACACTTCTGTACGCATCGGCCTACGGATGAACTTGGATAAAACCAAGGTCATGTTCAACGAGCATGTACTACCGGAACCGATTGCGGTACACGGTGCCGTTCTTGAAGTTGTTCAAAATTATGTGTACCTCGGGCAGACATTGCAGTTAGGTAGAAACAACTTCGAGGACGAGGTGAACAGAAGAATTCGGTTGGGTTGGGCAGCGTTTGGGAAGCTACGTCGAGTCTTCTCATCGTCGATCCCACAGTGCCTTAAGACGAAAGTCTTTAATGAGTGCGTCCTACCCGTCATGACATACGGAGCTGAAACGTGGACACTTACGGTACGGCTGGTCCACAAGTTCAAAGTCGCTCAACGTGCTATGGAAAGAGCTATGCTCGGCGTTTCTCTAAGGGATCGCATCAGAAATGAGGTGATCCGGCAGAGAACTAAGGTCACCGACATAGCGTACCGGATCAGCAAGCTGAAGTGGCAGTGGGCTGGCCATATTAGCCGCAGAACCGATAACCGTTGGGGAAAACGAGTTCTTGAGTGGAGACCGCGTCTCGGCAAATGAAGTGTAGGACGCCCACAGGCCAGGTGGAGTGACGATTTGCGCAAGATGGCTGGCAGGAGCTGGATGCGAGAAGCCCAAAATCGATCTAAGTGGCGTGCAATGGGAGAGGCCTATGTCCAGCAGTGGACTGCGATAGGCTGATGATGATGATGATGATTTACAGAACTTTTTAAGTCTTTGAAATACAAAGGCACTTAATAGATACAGGGTGTAAGGGACATCGCAACGAATACCGAAATAGGGTATTCAGACCATCGTTCTGAAATTTTCTGCCAGTAATTACATCAATTTTTAATTGTCAATATTTTTGGTTAAAACTGATGACTCCTATCCCTTAAAATATAAAAAAGAAACGTTAAACTAGGCTTAAAACTTACCTTCAAAAGTCCCATGTGTGGGAACTGTTCGTACACCAGCCTATGGGATTCACCACCTTTGTGTATCCTAGTCGCTGTGACGGTGTTTGGACCCATACCATCTCCAACAAATAGGATGACATTTTTCGCCGTATTGTAGTTTAATTTCACTTCAAGCGCTTCTCTTAGCTCATTCTTTGCTAGATCCAACCAAAATTCTTGATCTAAAAGAGAAGAAAGAAAACTGTTGTATGTTAAAATAATAATATCTTCACGCATCTCACACGCGGCGGTCTGAACGGTAACTAGACTGTTGATACATACATATTATAGATAAATAACACCCGTACAGAACAAATGATCGTGCTCATCACACAATTATATGTCCTTGTTGGGATTTGAACCCACGACCTCTAGCTTAGCAATAGGACCACTTATCACTAGATCAACAGACGCGCTGTAAATACTATTATAGTATAAACTAATATAGTATAATATAATATAAATTATAGTATTATTGAAAAACCAGAGTTTTTTTTCGTTATAACAACGTTAATGGCGATTTACCACCATTTAGCCACGAAATAAAATGAAGTCCTATATTCTGCTAATACGTTACAAGAACACATTCACAAGTCAAAATCTTTTTTTAGAGGAGATGAATTCGGTCTTTACTAAATGGACTAGCTGTGAGAAGAACGAACTCAGGGATTATTGTCTGTTTTAAAGTCCAGACTATTTTCTTCAAGTGCAAATACATGTATCTCTCAGTACAATATGGCAGCCCCATCCCTATTCATCCCGTGGGTGTCATAAGAGGCGACTTAGGGAGCAAACTACGCAGGACAACAGCACTGCAAAGAGAAGGAAACCTTGACACAAAACCCTATACCAACCCGTCTGGCCAGCGTGGTATAGGAGGTCAAAACATCCTTTCTAAGGAGAGATGTATAGGAGATGAAATAGATGAAATAAATATGAAATAGATTTATTCAAATAACTTATGTAGGTACCTATATTATTATTATTTGATAATAATAATATAGGTACCTACCAATGATATTGGGCCCTGTCCCAATATTAATGTCCCATTATTATTTGTGAGAAAGTCCTTAGTGGAATAAAAATTGTTTTGCATTTCTATCGCACATGGCTTATTGTTAGAAGGACTTTTTATATGAGGTTTAATTTAAAGCTGACGACGTTGACCATGAGTATACTTGTCAATGTGCTTGACTTGAGCGTCAAGTATCAATTACACCCATTACGCATTGTCGACTAGTCGCCGGTAACTCGTTCGACTACGAGCATGTAGGGGAGAGTAACTAATATTAAACCGGCGCTTAAATTAGACCACTTCTGTTGGTATTCCTATTTGGTATAGTACTCGTATATTGGCACAAAAAGGAGGGCTACAAATTGGCTGAGTATTAGTGGCGCTTTTTGTGTTGTTAGTGTAAAATAATAGTGCCATTTTGATAGAAATGCAGAGGTTCAATATTGGTTACTCTCCCCTTTTTTTTTTTTTCTAGGAAATCCCCTCGGATACCACCTGTCGGTGGCATGTCGGACTCGAACCGACTAAAACCGCACGCCGTCTCGGGTACTAATAGCCGGGGAACCAGGTATACCCTAGAAAGGAAGTCCCTGGTACCCCGACCTACCTCGGGTCATCTACAGACGAGTAGACGACCCCCCCCCGTAGGTTACTCTCCCCTACGTATTTTAATTTATTTAGTTGACGCTGAGTCTATACGTATTTGGTTACTGCACATCCGAGTGACTAGATCAGTTGCTGTGGCGTTTATACAAGTAACTCGCCTCAAAAACTGGTACGGGAATATACAGCGTGTTTTCGACAATACAATAGTAGCTTTAATCAACCATACCTAGTAGTTGTTTTCAATTTTAAAAATAATTTTCAAAATAAAGCTATTTGTTTTAAAGTTATGACCGTTTCAATTCTCAGATATTATTACTTTTGTGTTTCCTATAGGAGGTTAAATCTGTGAAGTTAAATCATTTTAAATTGAATTAAATTGTGAAGGTATAAAAGAGGTTAAAAAATATGTATATATTAATGGAAATAGTCTAACTCATCCGTAGAAATTAAGAGAGGCAATGAATTCAAATGTTATTACCATTAATGAGACAAACTGCTCTTTATACAGAGGTCACAAAACAGAAGAATCCTGCGCGATATCGCTATAACCGAGTTATATTGGCGGAACCACGAGCAAAACCTAGTAATTTTATATTACTGAAAGTTTTATTTAGTGTTGCTCAAATTTTGTAAAAATATATAAAAATAAACTTAAAAAACCGTTTACAACAATAACAAACCACTAATATTCGTTTATTTTATTTCGGGTATTCCGATATTTTATTGTTGTATTGTAAAACGAAACGTATTGTAAAACGTGAAATGACGAAATCAATTGAATTGACCTTTAAGTGGTTTAAAAGAGCGTTGCAAATTGTATAACATGGATACACATACATATAATGCATACGTACAAGTGGAACTAATGAAAGCGAATCAATTACAATTTGTTAATTTTGAATATATTCTCTTTAATAGCAGACAAAAACGTGAAATAAGAATATTAGAAAAGCGCCGGCATCCCAAACACTTCCGACGGGTTGGTATGGGGATTTTTTTCAAGTTTTCCTTCTCTTTGCAGGGCTGTTGTTCTGCGTAGTTTGCTCTCTTAGTCGCCTCTTACGACACCCACGGGATAAATAGCGGTGGTGACACTCCATATTCTTAACCCGTCACCACACGAACAACATTGTTCTTGAGCACTAAGTATACTTCAAATATTTTACAATAGGTACTCACACTGTTAACTAAACTAGGCAAAACGCCTGTATTTTGGCTGACAATGTTCGGTTGTAGTAATTTACACAGCAGTATTTAAAATTAGTCGTCAATGTTACTGTATCTCGGGTATAAGTGAATATATTAACGTTAATTTTATGATTTATACAGTATGTTTCATTAATGTTGCCAATAAAACAATAGACATCCATTTTGCACAACATACACCACTGCCGATTTCGATTGTGTGTGTGGATGTGTAGTGAGAATGAGTGGCAGTGGTGTATGTTGTGCATGCGTGAGAAAGCTGGATGTTATTTATCTAAAAATATGTATGTATTTATGCCGTGTGTATTATTATATTTTTTTAAGATTCTTTCTAAGATTTATAGGAAATCATTTTTCAAATTTTATTAAACTATTCGTCGGCAAACTCTGGGTTCAGTTCATAGTTTAATGAGCCTGTTATAACCATTTTATGGTTTATAGTATGTACTTTCAAATATTATATTTCTTAACCCAATACTATTGCTACTATTTTTTTTAAATCACGACTGTTGGTAGCATTAGTGCTGCCGGTAATTAGAGATCGATCCGTGTACATAATCTGTGGACATGATCCGGTAATTCGACAGCCACTTGGTAATATACAAGATCAAGTTTCTGATTGTATATCCTACCCACAGTTAACAAGACGAGAAAAATCGGCAATTATTTTCCTATAAGGAATTCAATGAAACAATTGTCATTTGTGTCGTCCATCAGCATATTCCTAACTTTGATGCTTATTCATCATTTTGTATGTTACAAACAAAGACTTATTAGTATTATTAGCAATACTAGAATAAATGCTTATACTTCTTAATGACAGTTGTTATTATTATTAACTAGCTGCACCCTGCCACGCGTCGCTGTGGTATAATGTGGTTGTGTTGATGAGAAATTAGCAACAAAACTGACGCGATAAATAGATAAAATAATCTTTAAAGCGGGTTATATGTCGTGTCAAGGTTTGAGCTCAATCGGAGCAGAACTTTTTGAGTTCTTGAAGCGTACATAAACCAACTTAACATTTTTATATTATACTTAAGTTCGCGTGGAATTTGCAAAGCGCTGACTTAGTGAGTTCGAGCCCCAGAACGGGCAAAATTTTAAAGGGTTTTTCTGAGAGGGAAAATAGCCTAAGTTACTCCTTATATAGAAATGGTAGTAAAATATTATTAAAATCGGTCTAGCCGTTTAGAAGATTACCAAGAACAAACAGACAGACAGACAAAAAAAACTGGCAGTGTGAGCATGAAAAAACCTATTATTTTGACATTACAAACTGACACTTCAATTATGATATTTATAGATTTTTAAAAAAAAATACCATATAAGTATTATTCAAAATTTATTATTAGTTCTCTTTATTCTAAATGAATGAATCCTGATGATCGATTCTTACCCTTTTTATTTTAACGTAACGTAATTTTTATTTTATAATATATTTAATGTATAATAATATACCTAAGTTATTAAAGTACCTTAGTTTATTTTTAACTCACGATTGCGAAATTTGTGAAATATTTCTATATCTCGTTACGATGCGAAATATATTTGTCATCAATAGTTTTACACATAATAGTAGCTGACCCGGCAAACGTTGTATTGCAAAACAAAAAAATTAGGGATGGGTCACTCTTACCATTTAGGGGTATGAAAAATAGATGTAGGCCGATTCTCAGACCTACCCGATGTGCACACAAAATTTCATGAGAATCGGTCAAGCCGTTTCGGAGGAGTACGGGAACGAACATTGTGACACGAGAATTTTATATATAAGATATGTTAAACTTGAACAGTGTCGTAGTCGGTGAATATTGTCGGTGAATATTTCTATTAATTTAGGATAACAAAAAAGATAGTTAAGAATAAGTGATGCTAGCATGTAACTACAAATTGTAAGTTCAAATATTCTATAGAATATGATATGATATAAGTTTTCGATATCTTAGGATACGTATTCTGTAATGGACCAGCTTGGATTTACTATCGTCATTTCAGACCGTAAGTTCACTTTAGAAGGCGGAATTATGAACCTGGTGCAGAAGGCAGTTTTTCTTGATATGGTATACGCATACGCATTGTCAGGAGGTTTTTTTCTAGATCTCTAGCCCCTTATTTCATTTTTGCATTAGGTTATAGAAAACAAATTTATTTTGAAATCCCCCATACTTAAATACTTATATTATATAAGTGTGAGTAGGTATGTTTGTTTGTTAAGCTTTTACGCCTAAACAACTAAACCGATTTTAAAAATTCTTTTACCAATGGCAGCTACATTATCAGCGAGTAACATTTCTTTATCGTGATAGCTGAGGTACAAGCGGGCGGAGCCGTAGGGAAAAGATAGTATTATATAAGATACTAGCGGACCCGACAGACGTTGTCCTGTCAAACTTGATACTGCGATGGTAGCGCTGTCTGTCTGATCCAATTTAAAACATTCCAAAATCAACAACTACTAATAAATTAAAAATTAATTAAAAAAACATTGTCCAGCGGACAAAATTGTGAATCTAAAACCATTCCCAGATCCCCTTGAACACACACAAAAAATTTCATCAAAATCGGTCCAGTCGTTTGAGAGAAATTCAGTGACATACACTCACAGAAGAATTATATATATAAAGATTAAACCAATCATAAATACAAGTTACTCGTAATACCTATGCCATATACTTGTAATATCCATAAAGTGAGGTTTCACAGTCCAGTAGGTAAGCTCTCGTTGGTTGTTTAATGGTTGCTTGCGATATTTGTATGGTAATTAGTAGTTTCTGACTACTATTAACATCATCATCATCAACTGCCTTTAATAGTCCACTGTTGGACATAGGCCTCTCCTTAGAAAACTAAACCACGCTGGCCAGACGAGTTGGTATAGGGTATCTGTCAAGTTTACCTTTTCTTTGCAGTACTGTTGTCCTGCTTAGTTTGCTCCCTTAGTTGGCTCTTACGACACCCACGGGATAAATAGGGGTGGTGACACTCTGTTTTTTAAATCCATCACCACACGGAATAAACTGACTACTACTACTATAAACTGAATATATATTTATTGACCACTATAAACTCTAACAATCAAAACATTGTCATTGTCAATTATTATGGACCCCTATGTTGCTAATAAAAAAACTCTAGCAAGAATTACATAAAAGGAGATGTCATAGACAAACAACGTCTCTTCAATACTTTTTTTTTCCAACTTAAGAAGTCAGCCGTTTTGCCTTAAAGTAATTTTATTGTATCGTCTTTCAATGCAATTCATATAATGCAGGTAATTCACATTTTATAACGTGGTATTATTATCTGTATTGTAATGTTTGCTCTCTTTATTTGATCATTATGAAAACACGAATAAACCTAACCTTAAAACACAATTAAAGGAAGCATTCCTAGATAAACTACTAATATGTTAAATTCTTAGCATTAAGAAATTCATTGAATTCTATTATAATACGCTTTATTGTAACATAAATCTGTTAATAAGGAAATATTAATAAACAGTTCACCTACCGGTGCGAAGCGCTCGCGCACAAACGATTACAACACAAAACACAAGCACGATGCGCGGGCGCATGTTTGACACTACACTGATGTGACGTCGTGACCAAAACTGAGTTACACCGACGAAATTAGTGGGTTTCCGACTAACTGCTGTTTGTTCCTGACGCGGCACGTAGATATTTTTTTTACATATGTATTATCTATGTAAAACTGCAAGTCGTACCTTGTGTTGCTGTAAAAATATTTTTATGTTTGTAAAATGTTTCCAATTCGTCCACATAAAAATGGATAATTAAATACTTTAATTCTACTTTTCAATACTAAGCCGTGTTATACTCGTAGATGTTAAAACAAGTTGTCTTCGACTCTAAAGTTTCTAAATAACATCGAACTGACAACTAACTGACACTGTTTAATCTTATATGTCATCTATTCGAGTTCATTGTGTTAAATTGGTCAATCTGGTTCGGAAATAAATTATAGCCTAAGATTGTTTACAGGATATTTTTTATTCTAGAAAAAATTGATTTACAAAATTTAAATCGACAAAAGCGAAGCCACGGTCAAAAGCCCATGGTATAAATAACATTTTAAGATGCAAAATATATAACACGAATCTTCAAAATTACTCGTCACACTTGGCACACTTACACGAATCGTAATGTTAGGTCTTACATAAGTTGAACTTGTTTAAATGTTAGAATAAATTAATTATTATGTCACATTTAAAATTACACACACAACTGCAATTAGAACTATTTGGTGGTTTGTGGTGTGTGTAATATTCGTCTGGTGGTATAAAAAAGAGTGAATGAAGTCCGGTCAAAATTCCGATACAGTTATCTATATTCTTTTTCTAGGTATAAAAAAAATTAGCTATAAAGCTGCACGGATCCTGCGCAACACAAAACCTAAGGATCGATATCATTGCCATTATCCATTATTAGCCAGTTCCATTATCCGCCACCATTATCTATGATGTAACATGAGTTTACATTTTACTCTTTATCTTATCAACCTAATTAGATTTTTTTGAATGCGAATGGGAATTTAACGCGACGAGATTGGCGAAAGTTGAAATGGAGTTTTTAATTACAATTATGCTTTATATCAATCCAATACGAAGGGAGGATCGTCCGACCAGGCGAGGTGATTATGCCCGGCTGCGTGCGGCCCAACGGCTCAATTCGTTGATGTTGGGAAATTATTGTAACGCCAACGCCATCTAGTTTCAAACTAAGCAAATAAAAGCTAGATTGACTGCTAGAATACTTAATTACTTTTTTTTTGTAAAACACACATATTATACATAGAAAACAACCAAACTCCGAAACAAATATTTATAGGTCATACCAACATTTGGTCCCACCCGAGATTCGAACCCGAGACTTCAGAACAGCAGTCGCATACGCTACCACTGCACCACCGAGGCAGACATTCACTACTATCAACATAACTTTAGGTTTTACTCAGATTGAACACTTTTGAGATCTCAACGTCGCGTCGTTTCAAAATCTTCAAAATCTTTGATGTTCGGCAGTTTACTGCCGAACATCAAAGATTTTGGTTTTATTGTTAAGCAATATTTAAAAGATTTTGGTTTTATTTATAAAACCAAAATCTTTTAAATATTGCTTTCCATAAAATGTGAAATATACCTACAAATTAAAGTTACGTTTGCTACTATTTTTATGATTTAGAGACTGTTTTTAGACGGCAAGGTGTTATTCAACTTTTTCCTCAGTAGTGTCAAATAGCGTCGTATTGTCAGCATTTTAAGGTTTCTACATTTCCTTTCTACTACAGGCACCGACAATCGAGTCGCGTAGACCTACACGCGGGTAAACATCACGCAAGCTACATGGTACAGAATGGTGACAAGATCATCAACTGCCTTTAATAGTCTACCTTTAATAGACATAGGCCTCTCTTTAGAAAAAGAGGTGTTGGTCTAATAGACCACGCTGGCCAGACGGGTTGGTATAGGGTTTATTTCAAGTTTTCCGTCTCTTTGCAGTGCTGTTATACTGCGTAGTTAGCTCCTTTATTCGGCTCTTATGACATCCATGAGCTGAATAGGGGTAGTGACACTGCGTATTCTTAATCTGTGACCACACGGAAAAGATACAATCCTAATAAATACAGTGATGAAATGAGCATTTGAGTTAATAGGTCACCTGGACTAAGATCCAGCAAACTGGCGCAGAAAATTGACTGACAACTTTGTGTACCATAAGTTGTGGCTTATTGTAATGTGTACGTGTGCAATAAAGATATTATCCAAGGCATTTCAAAATTATTTTATGATAGCTTATGCCTGCGGCACCGCCCGCGTGTATATCAGTGTATCTATGTTATCCGCGTGTATACTCGCTGATAACATAGCTTTCCATTGGTGAAAAAAATTGTAAAATCGATTTAGGGGTTTAGGGGTGAAAGCGTAAATAAAAAATAAACTTTCTCATTAAATAATATAAGTATGAAAATGACGGGCCTGTTGGTCTAGTGGATAGTGACCCTGACTGCTAAGCCAGAGGTCGTGGGTTCGATTACCACCAAGGACAAATATTGTGTGATGAGCAAGGTCATTTGTTCTGTGACTGCGTGTAATTTATCTATAATATGTATGTATTTAAAGTATGTTTATCAGCAGCCTCTGTTGTCATAGCACAGGCTCTGCCTAGTTTGGGATCAGCAACCGTGTGTTAAATGCGTGTGGTATAGTATAATATATTTACATCTATAATAATCAATAATTTAAAGAATATTAATTATTGTAAACACATTTCGCTTTCGCTTCGGAAGATTTTACCCTGCTCGGCCCGAGTGATGCCACAGTCTCAAAAAATTATTAATCCTGAAGGGGGGTGAGTTAGTACCAGGAATTTTCACACCTGGTTCCCCCGTAACTGGTACCCGAGACGGCGTGTGGTTTTTGGTCGGTTCGAGTCCGCCATAACCATCCCACCGATGGGTGGTTACCGAGGGGATTTCCGTACAGAAAAAAAAGAGGGGGCCGGCGAGGGAATCAAAGGGCGACAACGCATTTGTGACTCTTTAAGTTGCACGTGTACTTGGGCGGCGGTAGTCACTTACCATCAGGTGACCAGCTCTCTGTCTAAGTGTTCTTTGAGTCATTTGATGTTTGAGTCATCATTAATGTTTGTAAAGTCCCCCACGACACAGGATATATAACTTTTTTGTTGACGGGTTGAAAAATCCCTTCGGATCTTCTGCTCCTCGGGGACGCAGGAGCCAGGAGTATGTGGTAATTCTACTAAAAATCACCCCAACGGTCGGCCTCAGGGAGGGGAGGACCCGGACCATGTTATTTCAGGTCCTCCCCGAACAGAAACCTAGTGCGGGCATAGTATTTTTAAAAGAAATAAAACGTCACTCGAAGCATCGAAATAAAATAAGTGCGTATAAAAGTTATAGAGAATATTAGTAATTTGAAAAGAAAGAAAAAAGATAAAATCATGTCGTGTGACGACTGTATATCGGTTTAATTAAATTGTGGGCCCGTCCAGTGGCTTCAATTTTTGTAGTCATAATCATAACATTACCTATATTCTGACTCTTACAAAAATAATTAATTGACTACTTGCTTTCTTCTACAATGTATTCGCTAAAATGAAAACAAATAGAATAATTTATTTTTATATTAAAAACGGTAATTAATGTTTGACAGTATAGGTGTGTGAATGTAAAATATTGTAATTAATTTTTGAGTTTTATTGTAGCAAACGTTTTGGTTTTATTTATAAAACCAAAATCTTTTAAATATTGCTTTCCATAAAATGTGAAATATACCTACAAATTAAAGTTACGTTTGCTACAATAAAACTCAAAAATTAATTACAATATTTTACATTCACACACCTATACTGTCAAACATTAATTACCGTTTTTTAATATAAAAATAAATTATTCTATTTGTTTTCATTTTAGCGAATACATTGTAGAAGAAAGCAAGTAGTCAATTAATTATTTTTGTAAGAGTCAGAATATAGGTAATGTTATGATTATGACTACAAAAATTGAAGCCACTGGACGGGCCCACAATTTAATTAAACCGATATACAGTCGTCACACGACATGATTTTATCTTTTTTCTTTCTTTTCAAATTACTAATATTCTCTATAACTTTTATACGCACTTATTTTATTTCGATGCTTCGAGTGACGTTTTATTTCTTTTAAAAATACTATGCCCGCACTAGGTTTCTGTTCGGGGAGGACCTGAAATAACATGGTCCGGGTCCTCCCCTCCCTGAGGCCGACCGTTGGGGTGATTTTTAGTAGAATTACCACATACTCCTGGCTCCTGCGTCCCCGAGGAGCAGAAGATCCGAAGGGATTTTTCAACCCGTCAACAAAAAAGTTATATATCCTGTGTCGTGGGGGACTTTACAAACATTAATGATGACTCAAACATCAAATGACTCAAAGAACACTTAGACAGAGAGCTGGTCACCTGATGGTAAGTGACTACCGCCGCCCAAGTACACGTGCAACTTAAAGAGTCACAAATGCGTTGTCGCCCTTTGATTCCCTCGCCGGCCCCCTCTTTTTTTTTCTGTACGGAAATCCCCTCGGTAACCACCCATCGGTGGGATGGTTATGGCGGACTCGAACCGACCAAAAACCACACGCCGTCTCGGGTACCAGTTACGGGGGAACCAGGTGTGAAAATTCCTGGTACTAACTCACCCCCCTTCAGGATTAATAATTTTTTGAGACTGTGGCATCACTCGGGCCGAGCAGGGTAAAATCTTCCGAAGCGAAAGCGAAATGTGTTTACAATAATTAATATTCTTTAAATTATTGATTATTATAGATGTAAATATATTATACTATACCACACGCATTTAACACACGGTTGCTGATCCCAAACTAGGCAGAGCCTGTGCTATGACAACAGAGGCTGCTGATAAACATACTTTAAATACATACATATTATAGATAAATTACACGCAGTCACAGAACAAATGACCTTGCTCATCACACAATATTTGTCCTTGGTGGTAATCGAACCCACGACCTCTGGCTTAGCAGTCAGGGTCACTATCC